GTATGTTTCTTGTTTAGGAAGAAATTATTTCAACAAAATTGAAATAAGTAATATCATATTTATTTTATTATTTTTCCTCTCAAAAGAAAAAACTTTGACCAGGGCACGTTTTGATTGATATGGGCCTGAGTAGGTCGATAATTCAGATCATTTCTATGGTTCAGCGACGCACTTTTCATGACAGCGCCGCTGTCGGAATATCGCGGAACTAAAATACTGCTCAGTTTCATGGCTTCACGTCAATTTCACTCGTAATATACAAACGAAATTTTTGGATGCACCTTTCTCTTAAACTAAAACTCCTACCGCGTTTCTAAAAGCATGGGATTGTTCGTTTAGATTTTCCGCAATACGCTAGCTATTTTTCATGAACGTGCAAGATCTGAAACTCTTATATGCAACACATATTGTGATGTGTTGACTACAGGAGCCGATAACAAAACTGTAAGTTTTTAATTTTTTTTCGTTTTTCGTATTCAAATGTAGCTGGCGCTTTGCGTTGTTGTCGATACTTTAATTGTGGAGAAGGATTTTTCAGTCCATAAACACAGTTATGAGAAAGGTGCTTTTAAAATTTAATGATAAAACAGGACACTCCAGCATGCGAATTTTTAAATACCGTTTTTACGCTATAAAATGTACTGTTGCTCCTTGTCTGGCACAGGGAATTCCTTGTCTAGCACATATTAAAAGTATCTTCAAATGCAATTATCTTTTGAATATGCCTGGTTATCCCCCCCCCCTTCCCCTCAATAATACGTATGTATAGAGAATATCATTATCTTCGAATAGTAAAAGCTTCAAACAAATTTAAAAAAAAAGTCATTTTGTGATACAATTTTAATGATACGAGAATGGGGTGAGGTCTTACGCACAAGTGACAGAGAACTTTTATTTTTTAAAAATATAGACAATGGTATATCTAAATCGACTGTCATTCATCTGAGTATTTGTAAATTCCTTTAACGTTAGAGAAAAGGTTTACAGTACTCATTTCGGAAGAAATTAAATCTGATAGAAAGTGAGTACATGGAATTAGTGTTAGGAATGGAAAATGGATTTTTAGAACTAATTTATCATACTCCCTCTTATTAATACGCCTTTATGCAATGCACAACTTGCACACCTGCTTGTAGTGAGCCTGTTTACTGCAATGAGTTGTCTTTAAACATTTATCCTTTAATAACTCGTTTTATCTAAGTATTAATTATATTTATCTCCATATCTTCATTTCTATGTCTATTCCAACTCGTTCCAATATCTTTCTCTTTCCCGATAAAACATGTTTCATATTATATATAATTTTATATAAATGGTTACATATATAATTATACAAAACTATATTAAAAATATGTCCCATATATAATTATATATACTTATGTAATAAATTTAGTAACAAATTGGTGTAATAAAATCTTGCAACAGTATAAATAATAGAGTGAATATTATTCGTATCCATTACATTAAACACCCAAAAATTTAATAAAACATTTATATAGCATTTTAAAGATAATTAATAATGTACTTCAATCCTTGAAAAGTTAATAATAAAAAGATTGAAAAAATATACTTTAATATTTTGATAAAATTTTGATGGAATCATTCTTTAATTTTGATGGAATCATTCTTAAATCTTTGATGAAATCCTGCTTAATTCACTCTTTAATTATGATGCTTCAAATATTTATTCAGATTATTCAATAGGAGTTACAAAAATACTTTAAGTTCCTATTTAGATAAAAAGCATAAATATATAAAGAACATATAGTATGTATACGCATACATTTCTGTATATAAAAAAAATTTTATGAATATATATATTCTATGTATGTGTGAATAAATGAAAATATTCAAATATAGTATTACTAGTAGTACTTATGTATATAGTAGTATTTATGGATTATTAGATTATACTGGAATATAGTATATTTTAATATTTATAACTGATCAAATAGCAAATATGTCATTGGTACAACTAAACCAGTTTTTGTCCACGTTGTAGCAAATAAAACTTTAATCAGCCACCAAATCAAACCTAATAGAGCAGCTTGTAAACCCAGATGAGCAATCGTAAGACTGAAATATAAATGTCAATCGCTATAAATATGTAATTACCATTGATTAAATATTCATATATTCAACAAATATACTTACATTTTATGTTTGGAATGTGCTTTCGGTAAAGATTTTGGAGATTCATTATGAAGATATGTTCTGACACCTTGTATCAAATCTGTAAAATAGTCTTTCCAGATTAATGGTCTCATATCAAGAGTAAATAATTTTTGATCTTCTAGTGATAATGATTCGTGCAACTGTAACAAGCGCGGATTATTAAATCTCCATTCTTGAAAGATAAATTTCTCAAGGCGTTCTAATGATTTGTTGATATTTGTATGCAAACGAACTAGGCTGAAAAAATAACAAAGACATATTCATTCAAAAAGAAATTTCATAACGAATCGATATATTAGGTGTTGGAATTAATTCGTAGCGTTTTTCAAGTGATGGGAAGTACTTTCATTAATGTATTTTTTAATGCTCATGTGAAATAAATAACATTCTTTCATTAAAAAACGCTACGAATTAATTCCAACACCTAATATATTTTGAAATATTGAGTCCTTACATAGGACGGCCTCCACATAATCGTGTTATTGCATCCAAAATATAAGCAGGAATAGAAATTTGAGATATGGATACCAAACGGCGCTTCGTAACGGATAGTTGTGTAAATAGGTATTAATTTCCTTTTCTATAAACTCCCATTTGAAAGAGTTACACGTGCTAGATGTACAGTGATACACCTTTAACCCTTTGTCGCTAAAATTACAGATTAGAAAACTTAAATATTATAATTTAAATATTATAATTTAAAGAAAGTGCATGTCTCTTCTTTAAAATAAAATATTGGGTCATCTAAAAACCGCGGATATTTTTTAGATGACCCAATATATGCAAAATTTTTTCAGAATTACCTGTCACGATCGACATTATAAGCTGCAACAATCAAACTATTTACGACCATATCTACTGGAATGTAATCATAAATAAGATGTTTTGCAACTGGTAATCTTCTTACGACACCCTTACCGGCACCTAATATAAAACCTTGTGGTCCATTCTTTGATATTGTCCATCCTGGAACTGGTTCTTTCCATGCTCCCGCTACTGAATTTATATAAAATTTTTTAAAATATAGTAACATAAATAATAATGATATAACTCCCGTATCATGCCATTAAATAAAAATTTACTCATTGAAGGACGAACGATAGTCGCTGGAAAACCTCCGTTTAATACTTCGTGTTCAGCCAAATGTTTGGTGAATGTATAAGGATTTGGATGATTTTTTAATATCTCTGGTGTTTTGGAATTTAAGGTAGCATCATCTAGTGTATCAACTAGCTTTAAAATTGTATTTACATCCGCTGGCGCAGGATATATTATTTCATCGACGTTGTGTAATACTGCATTAACATACGCACTAGAAACATGAACCAGCGCCTAAAATAGCAAACATTGAAAATCATGCATAAACATTAAAACAAATAAATAAAGATAAATCTGTAGGAATAAGCGCATCAAAAATGCAAGAATAAGCGCTTATTAAATTTTTTTTCAGAACATCGGTTTACCTTGAGTCTTTTAATCTCTCGACAGAGTTGGACGATTCTGCGAGTTCCTAATAAATTAATATTTGTTGTAGTCTTTAGATCGGCTTCAAAGTCCAACGTAGCGGCTGAATGGAAAATGACTTCTACTGTATTTATTAAGGTTGTTCGATCTTGTGAAGACAATCCCAAATTTTCTTCACCAACATCTCCGGCAATTGCGATTAATTTCTTAAATAAATCGGTTTGTTTCTCTTCCTTTATTCGATTAAAGACCTATGTAGAAGTGAATTATAACTCGATAAGTAAACTGTGATATATCAACAGATTGGTAACAAATTTGATCAAAAATTACTAGCAAATTGGTATCAACTAGATCCGTATTAAGCTTGTGTTTTGTTGACAGAGCCTGTTGATTTTTGTCATTAATTTACTATCAGATTATATAGCTGATATTTCTACATTGTCAGTACTGAAAATCTATAGTTATCATTTAACATACAGATTTCAACATTAAGGCCCAGTTTCACAACTCATGGTTAACTCTTAACCGAGGTTTAACTTATTTCTCATTTCTTTCCAATTCTAGCATTAGAAAGAGATGAAGAATAAATTGGAAGATGAAGTCTAAATATATCAGAATACAATCATAATTTGATAGTAGATTGGTAACAGAAATAAAGCAGAATTTGTCAAACATAGATTTTGCTTTACTTATGCTGCTAATCTATGTTAAACTGTACAACAAACTGTATATCAATATTGTTATCACTGCGTTTGACTATACTAGAATTTCCTTTTTTGCATTTGTAAGATTTAAAATATACGCATATTTTATTTTAAATGTAGTGTATATTAGTTTAGCTATGGAGAGAGAGAGAGAGAGAGAGAGAGAGAGAGAGAGAGAGAGAGAGCAGATATTTTATATCTGTTTAAGTCTTTTATAAAATTCTAATGGAATTCAGTGCAGCAATAAAATACAAATTTTTGATTTACTTCACTTGTGTCATTAATTTGTTACTCCTCATACTTTATTGTCAAATTGCTATATCAGCATTCTGTCAATATTGGCTGTGTTCAGCAGAATTTATTTTGCAACTGTCGGAAGTTTTTTCGCGCTTATTATATTTTTAGATTTAGAGGAATAATCCTATCTCAGCAGAAACAATCATAAAACAATTGCAAAATTATTGCATTCTGCTGAACGCACCCATTGTATGCACCGATTCTATATCAAATTTCTAGCTTTTCTGCTAACAAAATTTATAGCAAACATTTTACAGAATTTATATCTATTCTTTTTAGCTAAATTTCTTGTATGGTTCATCTTTTCTCTTTTTTCTCTCCACGTTGAAAAAAAAAAGAAAAGATGAATGATACAAATTCAATTAAAAAGAACAAATCTTTTGTTCGACAATCTTGGCTATCCGAGAATGTAGGAGAACATTGAAAGGCGTTTCAATGCGCCACTTACCGAGTTCTTCGTCAATTCCTCCAATCTCTCCATGATCTGCTTTCCCTTCTTCGGTCTCATTAGCAAATAAATATTCTTGATATCAGGGCAACATCTCAAAAGTTTCTCTATCAAGCAGACGCCGACGAAACCGGTGCCACCGGTAATAAAAACGCTTTTACTATTGTAAAAATCAGTTACGTACGATGCCATTGTTAACGTTAATTGACGATTAATCGACTTGACAAAACAGTCTTGTGTTGACAATAGATGCTAGCAGAGCAAATATAAGTAGTTCGACTGGCGAGGAGCCGTACTGCGAGCGATGCAAACGACACGAAAATCAGACTGCCACAGACTGCCAAGGACGGTAAAGACTGCTTCACGCCACGACTCGTAACTGTCGAATTATCAGCCGACTGCCACCAACGCACCAACGGCACCAACTGCCACCTGCCAGTCCTGCCACGGCAGTCGCAGCGTACTGTTGATCGTTGCTGACATGCTGATTGCTGTTACCTATTACTCTACCAGCTCCGGCAATGACCTCAGTATAGCAACGCAACTTTCCCGTTAAGATGGTTTTACAGTAAATCGAGTTACCATAGAAATGACTAATTTTTAATACAATGAAGTTGAAATACCCCGAGCTTGACGTGTGCAAAATTCTAGGATAGGTTACCGACGAAATAGGAGAAAAAAAATGTTGACAATGTAACTTTTAACGTATCAATGACAGATCGGAGGCGATTTGTTGACTAACTGCAAACAAACATTACCATGCATTTTTCTCTTTCTCTAAAAAAAAAAAAAAAAAAAAAAAAAAAAAAAAAAAAAAAAGAGAAATTACAATAGTTACAAAAAATTACGATTGCAATGGTCACAAAAAAGTAATAAATCATCAGTCATTTTAGGAAGATATTTTTGTTGTTGAAATGACAAAGTGTATTTTCACAAAAACAAAGTTTTTTACAAAAGTAATTTTTTACAAAAAATTAATTTCTTTTTATTCCATTACTTTTGCATATTAAATATTGTTTATTTTATACTATTTTTAAGATACACGTAGTTTTATCCAAATTATGTAGATATTTGTGATTTTAGATAGACTCTGGTAAGACACCCTAAATTTTCGATACTTTACTGTAGAACCACTTTAGACAGCAGTATAAGTACTTATACTGTGCTTAGGCTGCGTTCGGATTCCCACCCGGGTGCTCCTCGGTGTCATGTCATCCTTGTTTAACGTCCAGTAAACAACAAAGATAATATGACATCTGGGAGCATCCAGGTGAGAATCCGAACGCAGCCACAGTAGAAATACATAACTTATACTGTGACGCAGACTAAAAGGAAATTCGACGGGAACGCACTCTGTTCTAAGCAGAACTAAAAAAATGTCGATAAATTACCGACATATTTAATTTCGATTCCTACATTATTATTTCGACTAATACACCGATGCATAAATCCTTAGGTCTGTTTTCTGTCGCTGAACTAAGGTACGATCAACGATGCTGCAAACGCTTTGAAGCGTTTTTTAATTGGTCAGTTTGTAAAATTCTTTTTTCTAATTGGTCCATCAAATGCTTCAAAGCATTTGTAGCGAGACTTTGACCACAGCCCTAGTGTACACTTTTGGAATTTAAAGTGAGATAGGTATACGTTTAATTTGTTTAAAGTGAGAAAGAGAATTCTAGAACAGTCTAGTGCAGAAACAGAAAACGGGCTACATGTTCGTCTACACTCAATATCAGCTAACATCAGCTCATGGTAATAAAAAACGTAAGGAAATAGCATTGGATTTACTATTGGTCTTATGATTTCTACTATGATTTCTACTCTTAACCAATTTGCTTACTGCTTACATCTTATGATTGCTTTACGTTTTATTAATTGTAATTATTTGATTTTATTTCTTGAATTAGCGGTGAAACGCGCGGCGTATTATTAAGTCTGTTTTTTATTATTGCTGCACTCTGAATCGGTGCAATAAGTTAAAGTACAAACGTATATTTGTTCCACTTCAATTTATTGCACTGTATGTACTAACAAAATAGTAATCTCTCTTTCAAAAAGAGCAGCAATAAAAAACAGATCTATTGACAAACTTTGATGATTTTGTAAGGTTTGTGATATATATAATTAATAATTATTAACAAAATTAACTTTCCATATACAACTATTTTAATCCAAAATAATAGAGTAATATTTTTTATTAGGAAGACTTTTGGTTATTACAGACCACAGAGGTTGATCATGAATTTGATTATGAATGATATAATAATCTGATGATTTTTTACAACCTTAATTTTATTATACTCTATTATATTATACTTCATGAGTTCACTTTTCTCATTTCCTTCCGGTCAGTAAACTGGGATATGAATCTAAAGAATCTTTTTGATATAGTGAACGCCTGGCATCATCTCAGACAGCACAGAATATTTATAATAAATATTTGTTAATATTTATTTTTTGAAATATTATATAGCTATTTCCTACATATTTTATATAAAACTTTATTCAAAATAACATTAAAATATAGACTAAATATGTAATATTTATATTGATAGATATAAATAAATATTTCTAATAAGTATTTTTATTTATTTGAATTATAATGTCTTATTAAGTATTTTCATAGCATTTACTATACATTCATAAAATTTCATAATATTTATAATAAATGTTTATGACCTGTATAATCTAAGAGCACAAAATATTTACAAAATATTTAAAATAAATCTTATAAATATTCATAAATATTTTGTAAATATTTTATAAATATTGTGTGCTGTCTGGGATGATTATTGCTATTTTTTTTTGCACAAAATCGAATTAATATGTTCAATTTCCATTGAGAATAACTTGAAGTAAGTTGAAACGCGTACGGATACGTATCAAAATATTGTTTTATTAGAATGGACTTTTAAATCTTTTTGTTTTTATACTTGTTTTTATACTTTTGTTATTATACTTGCACACAAAGTATCGCGCTAACTGTTACTTTCTTATATATTATAATTCTTGTCTATTTGTTATTAATTACAATTACGCATCAGATATTTTTTAGAATTTTTTAAAACGTATATATACGGTATCGACGAGATTGAAATCTAAGATCTCTGAGGTGATAACATCTAACACATTAACGCTGAGCTACAACGCATGTTTGTCTGAACACTTTAGCATTCAATAATTGTTATTCGAGGCGTCCTTATGTCTTGCGCGAATAAATGTATTAATGATTGCAAGCAGATGTGTAATCAATGTAAAATAATTTCTATTTGCCTATAAATCAAATGCATACGATTCATGTAATATTTAAATGTTGCATACTACATCTAGATAAATAATTTATACAATTATATAATTAAAAAAATTGTTAGAGTATTTTAAATCAAGTATTTTAATCAGTTATAAGATATATTCTTATTAATTATAACGAAATTAATTACATTGTTAGATAATTGCATATTTCAATTATATTATATACGAGGGGTATCCAGAAAATAAGTTCCGTTTTTTTTTTACAAATAAAGTTTTTATTGAAAAAATCTAAAATTTACATGGATAATACTTGACAACTTCTAGTCTTTTTCTACATAATTCCCGTCAATCTCAATACATTTTGTATATCTGGAAACAAGCTTCGAAATCCCTTCTGCATAGAAACTTCCCGCCAGTTCTTTAATCCAGTTAGTTACAGCTGTCTGAACTTCCTCGTCGCTTTGGAAGCGTTTTCCGGCCAAGGACTCCTTCAGTTTCGTAAAAAGATGTAACGGTCCAAAAATTCTTTACCTGCAGTCACTCGTGTGGCCTTGTGTAGAGGAGTCAGTTCTCTGGGAACCCAACGGGCGCAAACCTTGCGAAATTCGAGTTTTTCTGAAACGATCTCATGGATAAGACTTCGGGATATCTCTGGAAAAAGGTTGTGGAGTTCATCTAAAGTTAAACGACGATCATTGCGAATCGCATTTTCAATTTTTGTCGTCAACTCATCCGTGATAAGGGAGGGTCTGCCTCTCCCACTTTCGTCTTCAAGCGAATGTCTTCCTGCCTTAAATTTTCGGACCCATCTCCGCACCATAGATTCACTCATCACACTCTCTCCATATACAGAAACAAGCTGTTTGTGAATATCAACCGATTTAAAATCTTGAGCAAAAAGAAACTGAATGATGCCGCGCAAAACAACTCGAGAAGGAATCGGAATGGAGGTGGCGGGACGCGAAGTGGAGGACTCCATTTTGATAACCTCTCCTGACCGTGTTTCACGAGCTACTGACGCCGAACACCGCTCATTCTATTCGGTAGCTTCCCCTCTTCAATGCTGTGTTGCCAGCTCGCTCATACATCGACCTTACTAAACGTATAATACAAACGGAACTTATTTTCTGGATACCCCTCGTATCAACCAGTTGTGTTGTTAATACATATAATTTCTATTTGCTTATAAATCATACGCTGATCATAAATTATACAAAAAATTGTTAGATAAAGTAAATTTTGTTTTAATTAACTTGAAGAGATATTTAATTGTATTAGATTAATTGTATTGCCGTAACGCGCCCGTGCGAAATTGACACTACATTGATTTATATATATTTATTTATTTTATACAATTAAATAAATAGGTTTAATTTAATTGATTATATATATAAACTAAATTCAATTGTATAATAAAAGACTTTTATTTCATATGCAATTAAAATAATAAAATATTTATTTAATGTGACTACATATATGATTGATATAAAAAAATTTTCCAACTGTTACTATAATATAATTAAGGTAAGTATTTTGGTTATTGAAGAATATATGACATTATATTTGTTTCATTAAGGGGAGTGCACTACGAAGAAATTCGACAGGAACAAAAACGTCAAAAAGATTAAAAGAATTTTATCGGTAATACTCCTTCAGCATCTCCTTATAATACTGTCATTGAATTAACAAAATTATTTTCAATTAGACTGATGCTGTTGATTCAACAGCATTTTTTCTCAGTATATTAGGCTTAGATACCTAATATGAACGATTAATTAGTTAGAAACTATGTGTATGAGTTAGTTAGAAACTGTATGTATGAGTTAGAAACTGTGTGCGTGCGATATTATAATAGTGTGTACTGTAGTAATGTGTCAATCACATATAAATCATATGTGTGTAAGTTCTACTGAATTGATAAAACAAATGACTTACATGCCATTAACATATTACTGTACATAAATATCTCACGCATAAATACATAAATTTTCGTATAACGTTTTAATTAGACGTTTTAATTAACGTTTTATAAGTCCAATTCTAAAAATTCTATATTGTTTCTTCGTGCAAACTATCCAGACAGCACACAATATTTATAAAATATTTACAAAATATTTATGAATATTTATAAGATTTATTTTAAGTATTTTGCAAATATTTTTGTGCGATTGCATAAATCATAAACATTTATTATAAATATTATAAAATATTTAGTTTATACTTTTTAAAATTTAATAATATTTCGAATAATGCTTTATTATATAAAATATGTATAAAATGTCTATATAACATTTCAAAAAATGAATATTAATAAATATTTATCATAAATATTTGAGTAGTTTTATAGACTACAGCTATTTTATAAGTATAAATTGAACAACTTTTCAAGCAAATGTTGCCACGACTTGGTAGCTCTGGAGCTCCATATTGGATTAAGATATAAAGAAGAATCTCAATTTCGATGTTTTTGTCGTTCTTGATATATAAAAG